GGTCTCAGGGCTCCGGCCTCCAGCCCAGGCCCACCTGATGCTGCGGGCGGCCCGCGGCCCCGCCTGGCCTCTCAGTGGGTGGGGCCAGGCCTCTCACCTGGGCTGAACCTTCAGCCGGCCCCACCCTCGCCTGCCACCCTTCCGGCACCTGCCTGGAGCTGTGGGGCAGCACGCCCCAGCCCGCACCCACCACTCTGCTCCCCCTAGAGGCCTGCCTGCCCTGGTTTTCCTCCTCTATTCCTGGGTCGCTGGGGATCTGCTGGGCAGGGACCCCTGTCCCCACCCTGGGCAGCCTCACTTGGCTTGTGGCTCCGTGGGAGGGGATTGCCCTTGCTGGGCAGGGAGCTGGGGCGGGCTTGGAAGCAGCCTGGGCTCACCCTGTCTCCACAGCGCCGTGGGGAAGACCTGCTTGCTAATCAGCTACACGACCAACGCCTTCCCGGGAGAGTACATCCCCACCGTGTGAGCAGTTGTGGTGGGCTGGCCGGGTTGGTGTGGGGGGCGCAGGTGCCTGGGGGCCAGACCCACGTGGGCCCGGTCCGGGCTCCCCAGGTGGAGCTGAGGGGCCAGCTGGGCTCCAGCTCCGTGCGGGCCTGAGAGACCCAGCCGACCTTTTTCACCTTTCTCACTCCGCTCCTGCAGTTTCGACAACTACTCCGCCAATGTGATGGTTGACGGGAAGCCGGTCAACCTGGGGCTGTGGGACACTGCTGGGCAAGAGGACTACGACCGACTGCGGCCACTCTCCTACCCTCAGACAGTAGGCGACCACAGGGCTGGGAGGCTAGGTGGAGGCCCAGAGGTCCTGACGTGGGGGTGCTGGGGCCGGTGGCCCTTTGGAGCCTCCTGGACCACTTCCGCCTAGGCCTCTCCCTCCCTTTCTCCCAAGGATGTCTTTCTGATCTGCTTCTCCCTGGTGAGCCCAGCCTCCTTTGAGAATGTTCGAGCCAAGGTAGGGCAGGGCTGGACGAAGGGTTCATCCTCTGCCGGAGGGGAGGGGCTGCCCAGAGAACTTGCCCTTACAGGGCAGGGGTCTCTTGCCTGAAGACCTTCCAGAGGCAGACTGTCCTTTGAAGGCAGAGGTGATGCCGTTCTGCTGGGCGTGGGGTCTGAAGGTGGTCCAGAGGGGTGACGAGGGGCCGGGGTGGGGCTGGAGTGGCGAGCTGCAAGGCCTTCAGGGGAGGGAGGGCCCTGACTGCGAGGCCCTGATGGGCCTGGAAACTTCCCGGCTGGGGATTTCTGTCCTTGGTCATCTCCCCACTGAACCCAGTGGTCACCCCGTGAAGAGGAACGATTCAGGGTGGGTCTAGGCGCCACAGGGAAGGGGCCCTTGGGAGCCATGGCCTGCTCTGGGCCAGACTGGGGTGAAGGCCCCAAGGAGCAGGGATCAGAGCCTCCATCCCCACAGTGGTACCCAGAGGTGCGGCACCACTGCCCCCACACACCCATCCTCCTGGTGGGCACCAAGCTGGACCTCCGAGACGACAAGGACACTGTCGAGCGGCTGCGGGACAAGAAGCTGGCGCCCATCACCTACCCCCAGGGCCTGGCTATGGCCAGGGAGATCGGTGAGTGGGCACCGCCAGACCGGCCAGCATGGGGAGCGGGGAAGAGAGGCATCCCCGTCTGCTGTGCGCCTGTGCCGCCCCCACTCCCTCAGCGTCCCCCGTCCCTCGCTGCCCCCAGGCTCTGTCAAGTACCTGGAGTGCTCAGCCCTGACCCAGCGGGGCCTGAAGACCGTGTTTGATGAGGCCATCCGGGCTGTTCTCTGCCCACCTCCCGTGAAAAAGCCGGGGAAGAAGTGCACGGTCTTCTAGAACCACACTTCTGGAGGCACAGCCCGTGCCCACCCATGTCTGTCCTGTCGAGTTGTTCGATGTCCCCTAGTCCGCGGTGGGGGAATGGTGTGGGTGGGGAGGGGAAGGAAGCATGGGGACCAGGCTGCTGTCCCTGGTGGCGGTGCTGGGGCTGGGAGGTCCTGTCCACCTCTTTCCAGGGGCACAGCTCCGGCCTCCCCTGGTCCCTACGGGAGGCCAGAAGGGAGCAGGGACTCCCTCAGGCTGCAGGGGCGGGCCCAGGGCAGCCCCAGGATGGGCTTCCCTGCTGGGGGAGTTTGGGGGGTGGGTTCTGTTCTTGTGCCCCAGGATGGGGCGGCCCTTTCTTATTTTATACAATAAACGTTCTCCACCATCTCCTGCCTGTCTGGCTGCCTGACCTGCTCCTCTCACCCTGCCTGCCCCTCTGCCCTCGGGTGCTCTGCCCCCAGTCCCCTTCCCAATTCGTGGGTACAGAGCAGGTGACCTTGATCCCCCAACCCTGGGCCAGAGAAGAAGGAAGAGCTTACTGAGCTGTCAGTTTCCAAAGGAGGGACCCAGATCATAGTGGGAGCAAATGCACTTGGCCCCTTCCGGATGAAGACAGCCCCTCTCATGTGGACGGGGCCTCTGGAGGGACTCGGCCTGGGGAGCAGGTGGGCTCTGTCTGCTTAAGCAGTTCCCAGGTGTGGCAGGGGGCAGTGTGGCCCCAACAGCCTAGGGCAAGGCTGTTCCGCCCAGTCTGGGGAACACTGAGCGGAGTCCCAAGGAGCCAGGCTGTGAGAAGGAAAGGCATCCAGGCAGAGGGGCCCATGAAGCTGTGGAGGTAGGACAAGCGTGGTGTGGACGGGGAGGAGGGACGGCAGGGAGCCTGCAGCCTGGGAGGGCCCGGGAGCCTGGCCTGGCACCAACTTCACCCCGAGGACACAGGGCACCACTCCTCCTGGGCAGACCCATGATGAGAAGGCCACACTCTGCTACCCAGACTGTGGGTCTCTGAGCCGACTGCTAAACCTCAGGAAATTTGCTGGCCAGCTTTTAAGCCGCTATTGTTAATAATTATATAAACTTACAACTAGTTCTGTCAAAGACACAATTTAACAAATGCTCAAAGCACATCACTTTCTAATTATTTTTGTACATTATTATCTGTGCTTTCGGGGTGGGGTCATTTAGAGCTACTGTGTCTGCGTGGTGGGGACACCAGGCAGAGGTGAGGGGTTCCCGCCTCTCCCCAGCGCCGCCTCAAGGACATCAAACAGGTGGGAGTATCTACACCATGGAAGTGGGCAAATTCTGCAGCTGGAACTTGTGCTGTGCCTGTGTTCAGTACATGGTGAATAACTCAAAAAGTTGAGGAAATGTTCTCAGCAGTTGAAAACCGTCTGATTCAGCAAAGAAGTCACTCGAGTCAACAAAGTAGTGACTTTCCAACACTGCCTCCTCAGTTCACTTCTGTCTTTTATGCGCTGACTTCCAGGAATCCCAGCCAATGTTTGTGTTCAAAACACTACTGCTTCCACCCCAGAGGCCTCTCTGGACCAGGTCAAAGGCCATCCTTGGTCAAATTCACTAGCCTCTTTAGGAGGTTCCATCTCCCAGCCCTGCCAGGGACTTAGCCAGGCCTGCAGACCTCAGGCTGGGGAGCCAGGCTGCCGCCCGGCCTGGGATGTGAGTTGAATGGGCATCTCTATCTGGGACTCACTCCCACACTCAGCCCTGAGCTCTGCATCTTCCAGCCACTCGACAGCAGCCTAGGAATCAGCATGCAGGCTGGGCAGAAGAGTCAGGTTTATTGGAGGGATGGAGAAGGGGACGGTTAAGGTGGGCTCAGCGTGGAACAGGAGTACGTGTGGGTGGAGGGGGCTCAGGTGGCCAGGAAGCCCCCATCCAGCGGCACAGTGGCGCCTGTGATCATGCTACTCCGGTCACTCAGTAGGAAGAGGATGGTGTCCACCACGTTCTCCACCTCTGCGGGCAGGATGGGGCTCAGGGTGTGGGTGAAGGGAGCTGCCCTCCCACCCCTCACCCAAGCAGGTTACTGGTATAATTCCCAGCTGGGCTCCTGCCCAACTCACCAGCAAACCTGCCAAGTGGGATGCGGTCCAGCATGGTCTTGGCCTTCTGGGGGTCGCTCCAGTTGGCCTGGCCCATGGGTGTCATCACCACTGTGGGGTTCACTGCGTTCACACGGATCTGCCCCGGGACAGTCAGGAAGTCAGCAAGGTGGGCTGGGACTCTCTGGGCAGGTGGGCTGGGGGATGGGAGGTCTCCCAGCAGGGCTCACCTTGTGTGGCCCAAGCTCCAGAGCCATCCCCTTGGTCAGCATGTCTAAGGCACTCTTGGTGGAGCCTGTGAGGGGGGACAGAGTGTGGAGAGCCTGAGCTGGGTGCTCAGGCCTGAGGGGAGGGACGGGGGGCAGGGAACAGCCAGGGTTGGCTCACTGTAGATGCTGTGGTTAGTCAGGGCACGCTGGGAGGCCTGGCTGGAGACATTCACGATGGATCCTGGGGCTCCCCGAGCTATCAAGCCTCGGGCCACGATCTAGAATTGCAGAGGGAGCATGAGGCAGAATGTCACCCACTAATTCCCACCCCTGCCCTGAAGGCAGCTCACCTGGGACACTTGGATGACAGCCCGAAGGTTCACATCGAAAGATCTGGAGGTAGGTATGGATAGACCCTGGTCAGGGACAGGGGCTGCTGCTGCAGGGGACAGCCCTTCCCCCCAGGGTCCTCCACCCTCACTGGCTCACATGTCACACGCCTCCTTGGTGACCTCCAGGAAGGGCTGCAGCAATGCCACGCCGGCATTGTTCACCAGCAGGTCCACGGGGCCCACGCCTTCCAGCGCTCGCTGTGTGGCCTCCCAGTCACCCAGGTCCACGCAGACAGGTTCTACCCCTGGGCACTAAGTGAGGGGTGGGGAGATCATCTACCAGAGGCTCCAAGAAAGCGTACAGCTGGGCATCTGCCACCAGTCGGAGGGGGGCTGGATCTGGGTGACTTTTCAGTCTCACAAGCAGAGAGGTTACGGGGCCCAGAGGAGCCAATAACCTTTTGGGGGCTCAGAATCCCAGGCTACTGCGGGGGACAGGGAGTTAACTGGGCCTCTGGATAACTCTGGGCTTGGGTAACAGGAACCTGACCCGCCTCCGGCCAGCCCACTTCCTCCCTGCGCCTGGGGAGCCTCTGGCCCCGGGCCAGCAAGACAGCCATTTCTGCCTCTTTCTAAATCCAGGGGGCGCCG